TTTACCTAATATTTGAGGGCATTCCTTGATAGAGAAAGTATATAGTTCGACCTCTGAATCATCCATGTTGGCAGCAGCTTCTTCCATTTCCTTCCCATCCTCCTCCATGGCCTCTTTAATTTTAGCATCTAGATGTTTTGACAACTCATCTGAAGTATCCACCTCATCAGCGTTAGGTACCTTACTCTTTGTCTTAGCCAGGATGAGCATCTGAAGGTGCTCCCTAAATTGAATATGGAAGAGGCCCAGCTGCTGGGCCAGCCACCGACCATGGAGGGTCTTTCCGGATCCACGGGTGCCAATAAGTAAGACTCGTGGTGCGGGGGGCTTTGATAAATCAGAACAAAACATATTTGAGAAAACGCTTTTTTACGGTTTACAACTTTTTTATTTTACCTTGAGTAACTCAGTCCTTGTAGTGAATTGTAGAGGGTCCTGAAGAAAGGCATCTCTTGCTTCTGTACTAAAGAAGTAGAAGGTCTTCTCACGATATCTGGCTGCTATCTGGTCTGAACATGGCCTCAGGATGTTATGGGTTTTAAAGGCCACAGGGCAGAAGTGAAGAGTATCTCCTAGTAACCTCTTGGGTGTAGTGTGCCCCTAGTACCATTCAAAATAGTAAAAGTACACGTTTGTAAAGAAATAACATTATTAATACGAACCTTCATGGGTTTATTTACTCACTTCATACTCATGTTTCTCAGCTGTGCCGTTGTCACGTCTGCTTCTTTCCTCCTCCCCCTCCAGCTCCACCAAGGCCTCAAAATCCTCTGCCTCCTCCTCCAGGTCGACAGCTGTCAGCTCCCAAGGTAGATACTCAAAGGGCTCTGGTGATCATGGCATCCAGAGATTCACGTTTAAATATTCCTATATTTTTAGTTTAGTTTCACACTGATTCAAACATGAAATGAAAACTTCTATGTCAGTAAATTCTCACTCTCCATCTGAAGGACCATCTCATGAAGCAATTCTTTGGCGTGTTTGCCGCCGATGTCCAGTTCTGAGAATGTGACAGTTATATTAGGCAGCATTTGCTCCCATTCAGACATAAACTGTTGCATTTGGAGTTTAAACTCATCCATCTCTGGGCAAGGTGGAAAACCCAGCTCCCATTGGTCTGGCTGTGTCACAGCTTTAGGAACTGAAGGAGAAGATAAGATTGGAAGTTTTGGAATATTTTTGTCGCTGACCTAAAAACAGCAACATCTAACAAAAAGGCTTACCAAGAATTTCAGAAATATCAGGATCTGAAGGGTTTCTAGAGTCTAGAGGTTGTCCTACAAAAACAAGGTAAGTTACAATAATAAGACAATCTTCAGACTTTAAAAATCAAGCTGCTTCATGGACAGATACAGTCATACTCGCCATCTGTTTCTTCATTGTCTGTCTCCAGATTTGAAAGCACCTCTGAACTTTGCTCCTCTCCATCTCTAAATCATGAAAAAATAAATAGGAATAAATAAATTCCCCAAATTATCTAACTAAGATATTAGACACTGAAACATAATTATAAATCAAATATTTTATCCTCACAAGCATTGTCTCTCTTTTTCCAACTGTTCCTTCAGCATCCTCTTCATGATTGCTTCATTCACGGCCTCCTTATTCATCTCATACATTCTCCTTAAAACTGACAAAACAAATTGGACAAGTGATACTATGTATGAAAACTTACAAGCATGGGCCATGGTCTATTTTTAAATTCAGTATCAACTTGTATGTTATGTTATTGTATCTTTTATTTATTTTACTGTGATTTCCATCACTGTCTTTGAGACAAAAGATGATGTCTGGCAGGATTTCTCCTTGCAGCAAGGCTTCCATTTGAGAGGTATTTTTAGGAAAGCCGTCGAGCACCCATCCTGTCTTGAACTCTTCATCATTGTCTGCATCTTCAATCTATAACATCAACAGCAATAGAAAAAGAAATGTAATAAATATAATATATATATATATATATATATATATATATATATATATATATATATATATATATATATATATATATATATCACAACACCTTACACATACTGTACCTCTTTTACACGTTTCCTCAGTGCGTCAGCATACAGGCCCAGTGGAGATGGGCTTAGTTTCCGGGCTTCTTCTATAGCACTGAGCACCATGGCTTTCACCTCTGGATGATCCTCTGTCACTGGTAACAAAGAAGTTATTCACAGACAAACTCTGAGATGAACAGGTTTACAATGTTGAATCAAGTTTGACCATTGACATATTTCTGATGGATTCATACATTGGTTACTGAACTTGCCTGGATTCTGTGTCTCATCCTTTTCTGATTTCATTTGGATTTTCTTGATGGCAGCCTGCGTGGATTCTTCTGTAATCTTGTTAAGCCTCTCCTTCTCAGTTGCAGCCAGAACTGGCCGCACCATTTCTTCTATGTCAAGAACTGATGCCTTGTAATGCTGAGCTAGAAGCTTACAGACGGTGCTCACTCCTGCCAGAGGAGGCCCTACAATGGCAACCCTACAGGGTGGCCTGGGCATGGGTGGTAGTAGGTACAGTCTAGGGTTTGTGACAAACTTCTGTAGGGCCTCCTGGGATGAGAGGATGTATAGTTTGTCCTCAAAGCTGTGAGAAGATTCAGGTAAACGTCAGCTGATAATTTTGCATCGTTTTACCCTGAAAAACAAAAACAAACTGGATCAGTTCATAGAAAGAACCACACACCCCACAGAAAATTTGGGATTTCCAGGAATGACCCGTCCTTCCTTCAGTGCAACAGGGCAGTTTTGCCCCCAACGGCTTCGTCGCCACCTGAAGCCTGGAGCCACTACTTTAGCAGAAGAAAAATGTCTCAGCAGGTGCTCCTAGAAAAAAACAAAACATTTAATTTAAACAGGATATATAATACATGTGTATTCATATGATCAAAAAATATATTTTCTCCATAACTGAAATAAATGAAATTTCAATCGGAAATCTTGTAATAACCGTGTCAATATCTTCAGGTATGTCTTCATGAAATCTTGTAATAACTGTGTCAATATCTTCAGGTATGTCTTCATCATCAGAGTGGTGGAGAAGGAGGGGTATGGAGACATGTTTCAATGCCATGGATCCAAGACGAGACATGACAGTCTACACAGAGAAAAACTGTTGTATTAAAGTGGTTACTGGTTTGAAGGTACCTTAGAAATATCATTTAACTGCTTTCAACTGATTTGGACAAATGACAAAATTCATAACTGTGCTAGCACCATATTGATACCTGAAAAATGAATACTACATTATAAGAAAAGTTTAGATATTTTACAGTGTGCAGCTCTTCGGGTGTGTTGTTTCCATCTAGCTCCAACAAATAGAGGGGGTTGTGTTCTGCCATGTAGTCCTTAAATATAGATGCAAAATGATTTTATTGTTATTGTCATATGATTCAATTTAAATTACATTACATTTAAATTACATTAGCATAAACAGCCAAGTCTTTTTGTGTACAGTATGTTTACCTTGTGCTCTAAATACACGATAAAAAAAAATCATATCTGAACAAAATGTGTAATTTACATTACAGCCGAAGCATTACCGTAATATGACTACACAGAACTGCAGTATACTATTATCTAATAGTATAATAATTATCTAATACATAACTTGTATCTGATGTTTTAGTCTGCATAAATACTCACCTCCAGAGGTCTGAGAACCTTTTCATTGTAAATATTAATTCTAGTTAGAGCATCTTCAGTCATATTTTCCAATGGGAAAACCATATGTTCGATGATGTCCTCTTGAACTTCATGTTCAGACGACTTCAAGAAAAAATAGACAGAATTGTTTTTGAGAATAAATTGAAAACCAGGATCAGATTTATATTAGCAAGATAAGAATATTTGTCTATTATTGTCTTTTTGTCCCTACCATCTCCTCCTTGTCCTCCTCTTTGTCCTCCATCTTTTCTTGGTTAAAGAACTTGTCTTCATTGTCCTGGCGACCGTCATGGTCTTTCCCCAGCTGCTGTTTCACTCCTGACAACCTTTGTAATAAGTCATTGTCTGCACACTAAAAATAGAAACAAATGGTAAAGTTTCGCCAACAATATTTGACATTAACAAGGCAGATGTGTGTAGGTCCTGTATTAAAACCTTAATATTAATGACGAAATCAGGCTTAAACTCAAGGTTTTTGATGAGTTCAATCTGCTCTTGAACCTTTAAACTCTCCTTGGACACAAAGGGCAGGCAACTCAGCACGTACCCTGTAATAACAAATACCAAAACATAAATAGCACCTGAGCGTCAGTTCTGTTGGTTTTAAAACAATATGACAAAAACATTTAGAAAAGTTTTATTTTATATTGTATTTTATAAATAAATCCAGACGCTACATTTGCACATTAACAATTTACCATAGTGTCCCACATCTTGTGAATTAAGCCTTTCGAGGATCAGCTTCAGCATCTTGTCTTCTGGTATCGTCTGTTCTTCAGACAGGATTTTGAGGAGCTAAAATTATCAGACAATGCAAAAATGTAGTGTTCACAAAGAAGGTGTGTAAACACTCCATCCTGTGCCAGAATAACAAATCTCCTGAACAATGCTCACCTCTATACCATCATTTGTTTTATTTTTCACATGTGTCTTCAGCAGTTCTGTATCTGGAATGTTGCAAAGGCAGATGAGAAACACTACAGATCTAATGAGCTATTAAATGTTATTGCATTGACAAGATAAGATACATACCGTCAATCAAAATACACTTCCAAGATTTTGCTATTTCTTTGGCTAATGTGGACTTGCCAACTCCCTGAAACATATAAATGCACAAATGCAAAATATATATTTGACCAAGTGAAATTACCAACTGTAACCACATGTAATTGTGTCTTATCCCCAAAGGAGTAGAAATACATTTAATACACAGCTTAATGTGTCTATTTAATGGTATATAATTAATTTGAAGTTTTTGGTTAATTTACTGAAATAGTCTTTATATTGTTTAAGATGTAATTATTATTTATTTATTAAAGTTTTGTTTAACAACCTCCTCAGCCCCAGCCCCTAAAAATGTTTCGACACCACTGCAAAATACACTGAGCAGTTACATAAAAAAAGAGAGACAAAGTTATTACCGGTTTACCAACTACTATGAAGCAGGTGGGTTTAGCTTGAAGCTTGATTCTCTCCGCTTCGTCTTCGAACAAGTTGTCCACAAAAGACTCCATTTGTACTAATAAAACATACAGAGAACCTAAACAGATTAAATATGTACCGCTGTAGTCATGGGCTAAACATTTTTTTAATCTTACATAGCTGTTTTTAAAGCTAGCATGTATGAAGCTGAACTAGCTTTGTCCAAAACAAATAATAGAACCCGAGGCGAACAGTCATTTGATGCTGTTGTTATAGCAACCCTCAAACTAAGTGTCCGAGCATGAGATGCATTTACTTCCTTTTTGATAAATCGGAAACCCAAGCTCTTACGAATATGGCCAAGCTAAGCCTTCGAACTACAACTTAATCAAATACATCATTGTTAGTATATTCTGTATAATTATTTAGATATTTATTTATCTGGGAAATGGGTAATACAATTTTACGAGCATTTATTTTCAATTATTTTTAAACTTTACAGTACGTCTCGACATAAATAAATTTGCCCTTCGGAGGCACCCGTATCACCTGACTGATGATGGCTGTCAAAGAATGACAGTCACCTGACTGTAACTGTTTATGTCCTCGCGCTTGTGTGCTGTCTGAAATTACATATAAAACCTTTAATGGATAATGTAACGTATTTATGAATACGTAGTTGTTATACAGAATAATACTAGATTTGGTTTTGTTTTCAAAAGAAGATGCATAGAGGCAGCATAGGAGAGGATATGAGGCTAACGCTAAAGATAAGCTAAGCTAAGCTAAACTAATGGTGAGTAATTTCTACTGCATTCACACGTGTTTTGGGTATTTTTAATTAATATGGTGCGTAATTAAAATGTCAGTCTCTCTTTTGTTGCCTTTTTGCAGCTATTTTGTCCTCTTTTTGACTGGGACTTTTGGGAAAGATAGAGGATAAAGATGCCTCTGACGGCGGGTGTCATCAGTGGGATCCAGAGAATGGTTCTCTATGAGACCAGAGCTGTAAGTTTTAACTTCATATGTCATTAAGTTTTATTAGTTTTTTTCTATTAATTTAGGTCACCCTGTGTTGACAGATAAGGCCTATTGTGACTCAATAGAAGTCCATGTTGTCTAGGAGCATGTCAAATAATACGGTCATAAAATATTTCAGTTTATGTTATACATGGTTAATTATTTTAAATTGTCACTTTTTGAAAAAAATATTCCTAAAAGACTTTTGCTCTGACTTCAATGAGTTTAGACTCCCCTACTGTAAATAGTCGGTTGCGTTACCCGAAATAGTTACTATATTTTTTTCAGAAGAACAATCAATAAACCCTTTGTGTCCCAACAACTATTGAATTTCAAAATGTCCAGGTCACCCTTTATTGAGTTTCATGTATTGGTTCAGTCTGAGAATTAAATATGTAGTTTGATGTGTGTAATATGGCTTTCTTTATAAATATATTTAACATTTAAACTTATGTTTTATTATCTCTTTTGGTTTTCTGACTCGAATTAATCAATCAGTCAATTAGTGTTACAGCAATACATTACTCCACAAAGGGAGGCAAGATAAGGGAACTTTTACTACACATTTGCAAACACTAGATGGCGCCAATAGAGCATTTTATTATGTTTTTTTTTTTTACCACATTAAAGTCAGCTTTTGCTTGTTACCAGAATTTGTATTAGTAAATGACATTTTAAGTTAGATCCCTGATTCTTTTAGACAGAATTACTTAGAAATATTTATATAATTTCAACATTATAAATGCAGAGTTGCACAGGTGTGTTTCAACCTCGCTGCTAAACTCGCTCTACAAAAGTTTTTAATTACACAAAATTACAGGTAGTTTTCATTGACTTGTGCAGGAAGACACCCACTGTGATTATTGCTTGTCACAAATTGTAAAATTCAAACCACACGAATTCTTGTTGTTTGTTGAACGTCCTTTCCCTCACGTTGTAGTGCAGTGAATAAACAGCGTGTCTGGCCTTCGTGGACAAAAAGATCTCAGTTGGAGACTGGAACAGGACAGAATGGCATTAATGGTTACGGACTGTACTGATACATGGTGTTCCAATTTAACACATTTTTAGGTGTCTCACAACCCAGTGTGAGAGAAATAACGACTTGACAGAATAAAGGAAGGTCCGATATCTTTATGTGAGCATATTAGGATGTAGCCATGTACCAATCACACCCAGGTCACTTGCTGTTCCAGCTTCTCCCCTCCAGTAGGCGCTACAAGTCACTGTATGCCAGTACTGCCAAGTACGAAACAGTTATTCCTCACAAGCTGTCACACAGCTGTAGCTATGTTCAAATACCAATATCCCACCATCCAACCTGCACTTGCTGTAAATATATGTACGTATGTATGTATCTATAAGATGACCTGGATGACTGAGAACCTACACAGACATATAGCAAAGGCTCTGGTAATCTTTTTAGTCCACTTAATTTTTAACTTCTCTTTGCAGAGATATTTTCTGGTGGGCAGCAATCAAGCACAGACCAAACACCGGGTCCTGAAAATTGACCGCACAGAACCCAAGGATTTGGTCATAATTGATGACAAGGTGAGTTCAGTTCCCAACAATGCTGGTACAGTACAGTGCAAATGTTATTGTTATGTAATACAGTACATGCCTGTTCACCCGAGAGGGAAATGGTACGATCACTCAGTTTGTCCCAAGTGTATTGCTGATGACAGCTCAGCTGATGAGTGGCGAGTTGCACTTCCTTCCTTACACTGGTGCTCATTTCCATGATGCATGAGCTTGGAGTTGATCGTTCACCGTGCTGGCGATTATGGTTATGATGATGTGTTTTCATTAAAAAGTCTCCATGTGTGAACATCAGTCATGGCACAGATTGCATTTTTTGCTGATGTTGCACTTGTCATAAGAACACTGCTGATTTGATTGGCAGAACTAAAGAAAGTGCTTATCAAATACAGGGAGGAGTTTTAAAAAAGAGAATCAGACATCAAGGTTCCATTTGCTCACTTTAAATGGAAAAAAACAATGTTTCATTTTTGCATCCTAAGCAAATCTGGTTTCTAAGCTAGAAACAAATCATTTAGTCATTTTCATATTACTGCACGTCTTACTTTCTTTGACTGTAAATATGTGTCTGTATATTTTGTAAATAACATTGTAAAGCAACCTGTGGTTAAAAGTCATTTTATTTATTTAAGTCAGAATTTTTGCCTTGCCCACCATAGCTCTTGGTAGGGCCAAGATTTAAACCTGCAATGCTGCGATCACAAGTCGAAACCCTAAAACCATTTAACCACTACAGTGCTAGACTAGATTGTACATGTCTGTGTGGTGTAGTTGTGAGATTCTGGGTAAAACTTGTCACATGTGATATGAACTGTTTTTGTTTTTAGCATGTGTACAATCAGCATGACGTTCGGGAGTTGCTAGGCCGACTGGACCTGGGCAATCGCACCAAAATTGGCCAGAAGGGTTCGGGTGGTCTTTCCAGGGCTGTTGTAGCATATGGAATTGTGGGTAAGTACACATCAGCTATTTGCTTTTTTCACATTTTTTGTTTTCTGTCTTTTTTCCAATTTATCGTTTACTGTACTTGCAGTTTTCTTTTCTTTTTTAGGTCAATCCTTTGTGGTCAGATATAGATATAACGTACTGGGCACATCCACTCATGATAGTGTCAGTGATGTCACTAGTAGTGTAACCAAGTGGTCAATTTCACACATCACACATGTGCTGCGTGATCAGTCCTGTTGTCTGGCCTACATTTCATATTGTGTCTGTTCTACTTACATCGGAGATGACGGGGTCTTTAATCATTTCTTTTTTTCTTGTGCACTATCCATGCATTATTTTCCAAACAAAAAGTGTCATATATTATGCGATAATTAAACACCTAATAGAATAATCTTGGTGCATGTCAGGAGGGATTTAATGACCATCCACCTCTAGATCTTTATCAACAGGATCTGGGGTCAGTTTTTCTGTTTCATATTTTACTCACAGGATCAAAATCAGCTTCTTTACTAGAGGGCTTTTCAGTCACCCTGACACAGACTGATGACGTCTGCCTAAAGAGAAGAGATTATGTGCCCATGTTGAGTAAAGTGTATCCTGAGAACCCTTTGCCAGGAACAGTATATAATGAATACCATTATTGTTGGTATATTTTTAAGCACTTTCATTTGCCAGTTTTGTCATTCTGACCCACCTGTTGATAAACAGGGAAACATGACTCACACACACACTTGTAGGCCCCCCTCATCCACCATGTTTACATTTACAGCAGTAGCTAATGTGCAGAGCTGATAAAGGTGACATAGAAAGCAGCTGATTCACGTCTTTGTCAGGTGTAAAATATCCATAGAGTTCGTTTTGAGCCTATTTGATTCTTTTTAACAGGGTTCGTTCGATTCCTTGAGGGTTACTACATCGTGTTGGTTACCAAACAGAGAAGGATGGCTGACATCGGAGGCCACTCCATCTATAAGATTGAAGACACCAGCATGATCTACATTCCCAATGATTCAGTCAGAGTGACACACCCTGATGAAGCGAGGTACTGTCACGATGTCTGCTCTTCAACTCTTTCACTCTGTCCTTGTATCTACGTCACATCTTTGGCTCAGGCCTTTCAGGTGATCACATGCAGGAATTGGCTTTGGCCAGTTTGAGAGGTTCCTTTATTTTAAACCTTTGCTTTTTATCCAAAAACATTACCTCAGAAAGCCATGTTTAAAAATTATATAGAAAGTATGTATAAAAACACACAACATGAGCGGTGATATAACTTTGTTAGTTTGTTTGTTAAATAATCCCCCTGGTGATATCATGATTATGGTAACTGGCCTAGGCAATTTAAAAAGTATTTTACCAATCCTCTAGGTGTTCATGTACTATGTAGGCTCATATTGGCCACAACAATATTTATGAGTAAACACAGTAGATAAAATGTCTAAGTTCATATGATTATTTTCTCCAGAGTTGGTGGTGTGTGTTAACCAGTGATTTCCCTTTGTAGATATGTGCGAATCTTTCAGAACGTTGACCTTTCCAGCAACTTCTACTTCAGGTAATGACACTGTGTGTGTGTGTGTGTGTGTGTGTGTGTATGTGTATGTATACACTTTGCTATATATATACACTGTAGCTTTGATTTCATGGCTGTTACTCTGCAGCTACAGCTACGACCTGAGCCACTCGCTGCAGTACAACCTGACTCTGTTGCAGCGACCTTATGAACTCTGCCCCTCTTTGGCTTCGTCCACCGAGGAAGAGGTGCACACAGAGTGTAGACAGGGCGGCTTTGACATTTTTGAAGATGAAGGGTTGCCCACACAAGGTGAGTGGGAAATGAATTAATCATGTACGAAAATGCAGTAATAAATACACTTGAAGTTGTTTTCTGTCCTCAAAAATATATATATTTTTTGTCTGTCAAATCTGTCAAATATTCTGTAATTTGAATGTGAAATATTTTGATCTCTTGACCACCTCACTGATGTATGAACTATGATCATTATGCAAAATGATATAAAATAAATTGTCAGGAAAACTTTGTTTGTGCCATTCTCTGCCGCCACAGTTGTTTATGGCGTACGGAACGAGCCTTACTCCAAGTACATTTGGAACGGGAAGCTGCTGGACAGAGTCAAGGACGCAGTGCATCCTGACTGGCTCTTGTATATAATCCATGGATTTTGTGGCCAGTCCAGTATCCTTTTACCTAGTAAAGTACAAAAAAAAAATCTGTCTTGTATACACATTTGTTCTTCTTTTGTTTGTTACGTTAAATAGTCCCATTTAAAAAAAATATTAAGTCCATAATAACTTAACAGTAAGAGTGAACATCCATAACTCTTCAGCACCTGTTGAAATCTCCTCAGTCTTTGTAGAAGCACATGAAATCACAACGTGATCATGGGATTTGGCTCAAACCAGGAATCAATTTATGCTGGTTTTGAGGCTTTAGAAAAGCACCAGTGTGGGGCCCATTAAGATGTGTTTGCTTTCGTATAATAACACAGCCACCTACATAATCCCAGATTAGATTTGGAGGTAGCTTTTATAAAATTTGAATTTGAAGTTGTGAACAAACCGTAGATTTGTTACATTGTTTATTTTTGATTGGCTTGTTCCTTTCTGTTGAGCCATTCAATGTGCACTATTGGATTTGAAATGGATACCTTTGCTGGCAGTGTTGGAGTATTGTGTCCTGATGCAAATACACTTTGAGCCTGGACTTGATCAACACCTAATTTATTAAATTCAAATATGCTCTGCCTTATGTAAATTGCCTTTTAGTTTTATTTTAATCAGCTTTCATTAATTCTTCCTTCCCATAAAAACTACAGTATGTTGAATTTTTGTGTATTTTTTGGCTTTTTCTGTCCAACACTTTATATTATATGTAGAAGTCGTTTCACAGACAAAAAGACAAAACAAACGTTCTAATGAGGAGGTGAAGAATGACATGTATGAAGTAATACAACTGCAATCTTTAGAACATCACAGCTAAAAATGTACGTATGTAATAAGCATGTGTTCAACCAATTATTTGCTCTGTGTTGTATATTTTATTCCTTCATTAACCCACCAACTGCAGAGCTTCTGATCTACGGCCGACCAGTTTACATCACTCTCATTGCGCGGCGATCCAGTAAATTTGCTGGAACACGCTTTCTCAAAAGAGGTGCCAACTGTGAGGTACGGCTGTTGTCTGGGCAACGGGGGAAAACAGATAGTGGAGGCAGGGCAGAGGGCGGCTGAGATGATTGAGTTGACTCAAGTTGATCACAAGTTGTTCATTTGATGCAAAGTCTCACTCTTGTGGCTGCATGAGTGTCTGCATGGGTAACTGTAGAGCTGGAGAGCAACTGGGGGGGGGGGGGGGGGGGGGGGGTAGAGGGGTGTATCTATCTGTTTGGGTTATTACTTCTTATTATACCTTTATAGTACTCTTCCCTGGGCTATTTTAGACTGTGTTGTTCATCTTAATTTTAAACACTACAAATGAATTATTCTGGTATTTACTAAGAATCTCATTTTTAAATTATATGAGGCTCAAAGCTTCTGTATCAACTGTGTTATTTAAAGAAAACTGAAGGCACTTTACACTATTTTTTATTATATTATTTTATATGTATTCCAACATGGAATTGCACCACTGAATTTTGCTATATCCAACACATTTGGTCACAGTAAATCAGCTCTTAAACGTACATGTTGTGCTTTCCTGTTCACCGTTCACTTCTTTCTCATAGGGTGATGTTGCCAATGAGGTGGAGACAGAACAGATTGTCCATGACGCCTCGGTGATGTCTTTTACAGCAGGAAGTTACTCTTCATACGTCCAGTTGCGAGGCTCAGTCCCACTCTACTGGTCCCAGGACATTTCCACTATGATGCCAAAGCCCCCCATACGGTGTAAGACCCTTTTTTTACGACTATTTTCTGCCTTACTCTGTGACCTGCTGCTTCTATGTTCTTTAACACCAAGATCATTTAAATCATTTGTTATTTAGCTGTGAGGGAAACCTATGAAGGCTGGGCTTGATAATGGAACACCAACAGGATTGACAAAGAATCATAAAGCTCTGATCTCTGATTCCTCTGTTATTATGCATTAGAACATACATGGATATAGAATAATCCTATGAATAATACACAATAACACAGCAGGTGCTCACTGTTGCCATTCAGCTGTATAATGCTCCATGTCTTCCTTCTGGTGGCTTTCTATGACCAGACATGACCTTGCAGCCAAAGAACAAGAATGTAATTACAATAAATGCATCAAAGGAAGACAGTGACTTTCCTCCAGGGCCTTTGTTCTCTAACGGCGGCCCGAAATTAAATCAAATAGAAAAAGTAGGTGAAGGCAGGACAACTCTCCCCTTTGTGGTTTTCATTTTTGTTTCTCTTCTATCCCATCTCATAATGAGAGGGATAAAAACATAAAAACCTGAGGGAGGGAATTCAGAGGGAGGTGGACGGGTCGCTGAGAGTGGTGACACTGGAGTAATCCACCCAACGTGCCCTCTAATTCATCCTTGGATGACATGTACCTGACTAAGATGAATGAACTGAGCCTGGCCCTATGACACCTCCCTCTGTGGATCAGCCGACTTCATGTTCCCGGTTCCACTGAGTTGCTTGAAAACAGAAACGCGGTTCAACTCTTTTACCTTATCTTTATTATATAAAGTAGGGTTTTCAACCTCTTGGCTCGTGGGCTACAATTGACTCACAAACTATCCACATGCAGCCCACAACTTGACGTAAGTTTAATGTGATCTGACACCCTGCTGTTAGTTCATTTGAGTCTGAGACCCCTGGTGTAAGCCCTTGCTGAGAGCCGAACAAGAGGATCAATAACAGCTTCATGTCATTAGTGTCGAGCTAATGCAGTGGCAGCTCTGAGAAGGAGCTGCACCTGGTCAAATGCACAGCGTTTCTTTGCAGCAATAGAAAAATCAATGCTGGTTCACAAACAGTAACATACGCTGTTTTTTAAGGTATTCTTCACTGCATTGAGTGTGCCTGAATAGAAATAACATTTAATCCATATAATACTGATCCTTTGATGTTGTTCTTGTCTCAATGGGATTTCATCTTGCCCTTGGCATGACAAGTGATAAATCACATGGTTGAGTTTCAATGAATCTTCAAACTGATTGCAGCTCAAAGGATACTGAATGTCAGTCTGCCTTATCTGTAACATTTGAAATAATAATTTGATTTCAACAATCTCTGCAGACAATGGGATTTGACAGATGTAGGTCAGCAATGTGAACATGTTGACCATTTGTCAGTTAACAGAATGTGTTGCCCTTGTCTGTCCAGGGGATTATTGTTGGCACGAATTGTAGCGCAGGTTTACATTCAAAGCCTTAATGACTGGACTGAAGTAGCTGAATGTCACCGTTGTGATGGAGATGACCCTAATGGTGTCATAATCACTAACAACTTTACCGTTTCCAGGTAAAGAAAGAATTTTCAAGGCTGTTATCTCTTCATTTTGTTTTATGGAGACTTAGTCTCCTAAAACAGCCCTGTGCTCAGACCTGTGCTCAACGGTTTAGAACCGTTTATTTGTTTGATGCTGAGGTCATTTTTGTCAAATTCCTAAGATTTTATCTGTATTATAATATTTTCCTGCATTTTCACCATATTTAATGCAGCATGATGACATTTTCAGCAGAGACAACCAGTTGCACATTGTTTAATGTTCACCTCCATGGCAACAGTTACCTCGGTGCCTTAAATGTAAAGCAACCAATTTTTCTTCTCTTCCCAGTGGATCAGGCTGACCCATATGCACATGTAGCTGCCCTCCACTTTGATCAGATGCTGCAGCGGTTTGGGTCGCCTATCATTATCCTCAACTTGGTCAAGGTAGAACACAAAATTGACTGACACATTTGTGTTGCAATATTTTGTTTTGTTTGTTTTTTATATAAATGCACAACTCTTTTCTACAATTTTCTGGTTACACAAGCAAAGATCAAGTCAAGATATGTTATGTTGCTCTAGCAGTTAGTCCAATTCATGAGCTGTATTTTTGCTCTATATATTTATTTATTTGCGCATATATATGTCTATACATACAGTGTATATATATATATACATATATATGTATAAATTATTAGAAATATCATACAATTACTGTAGTTCTGCACTTATCCAGGCATTAATTGTGCCCCACCTGTGATGCTTAGTTGTTGCATCTGACTTGTGATCAGGAACCGTTCAAAGGTTTCTCTGTACGCTCATGTCTCATTCGCCTCTGCCTTCAAAACAACCAAGGGCATCATTTATTGCAGGACTACTCACCCACACATCTTGCTTTCATTTCACCGCCACACATTTTGGCACGCTCCCATACACCTTATATGGTGCTCTGAGCTCACGTTGTCGCTCACAAGGGGAGGTTTGAGACAACAAACCAATCACACCCCTCAGATGTTGGCACAAGCCACAGCCATGTGATACTTGCGTACCCCCCCCCGCCTCTTCACCACTGTCTGTTGCATCCCCCCCCGCCTATTCACCACTGTCTGTTGCATCCCAGCAAGACAGAGAAAGGAAGGAAGAGGCAATTATTGTGAATATATATATATATATATATATATATATATATATATAAAATAATGACAGTCCATACTCCCAGTGTGGCTCTTCAGGTTGATGTGGCCAATGCAGCTTCAGTGCCCTGTGTGTTTTTTCATGGGTTGTTTTGCTGCTCAGTGAGCACAGATATAGAGAGAAGACAGAAGTGCGAAAAGTGCACATGTCTATGCACGTGTACCACTGTAGGAGGCTAACATAATGAAAGTGTTTAAATTCAGTCTTTGGGCACTGTGATTCTTAATGAATGTGATATTGATACAACATCAGTAATCTATTTTTGAACCCAGCTCAGAATGGCATCAATCATTCACTGCAGAATGAGATGAGCAAGGCTTAAAACCATCATCGGACACAGCCCTTTATTCTGAACTGTTTATAATGACATAACAATTTGATTTAATAACACAGTTCCTTTTCATTCTGTCAAATGTCCACGTGCATGGATCAATTTATTTATCTAAATATGCAGCAGTGACTCGTAGTTCTTTGTGACGCGTGCGTGCACACCTGACTTGAATGACATATTCGCTTCAGTGGATGAGTGAAGTAGTCACTGCATCACTGCTGCTTCTGCTGCTGTGGGATATGTATGATGTATTTAGATTTTAGCTGCTAAACAATGCATGCGGCCCAATTATCACCCTGGGACAGGTAAAGAACAAGTCATTGTTTTGGTTGGTAAATAACAAGACTAATTTTATTTCTGAAATGTGACTAATATTTGCATTCTTTGTGCCGTCTGTTTGGTCAGGTTCTTCCTGCTGCAGGCTGTAGATTGTTTCCCCTGCTTCTTTTCTTGTCTGAGGTTACACTGTAATCAACCTGTAAGGGTCCCCATGAATAACATAAGGTGGAGAACACATCAGTCACATGTCTGATGGTGTCTGGCCATGTGCTGCAAGCATTTCTGAGAAACTCTCTATCCTAGATATGCATCATTCACCTTGAAATTGAGGTGTTTCTTTTTCTTTTTATCTATAAGTAACTTGACAATAGAAGCCACGTACCGTGTGTCTGCCTTGTGCCACAGAAACGTGAGAAGAGGAAACATGAGAAGATTCTGAGCGAAGAACTTTACCCAGCTGTCACCAACCTGAACCAGTTCCTGCCGCCAGACCACTGCATTGAATACATCGCCTGGGACATGGCCCGCTACACCAAGAGGTTGGCACAAAATGTGCAAAAGAATTCTTCCACACCAGTCCATAAGACTGCACTGTTTACACCTGTTATTTTTATTCTATCATATTAATATTATTATTCTAATTTTAATATTTATCATATAACAATATCACTATTATTACTATTATAGTGTCATTGGTAATATTATATTTCAGCTTTATTTATTGCTCTGTTGCATATATTTCTCAGTTATTAATTATTGCTGCTTTTATTTTTTGCCTTATAATATATTTTTACTATCTATAACACTACTGTTTGTATTGTGTGTCATATTTTATAATGTTTAATCATATTTATTTGTTATATTTATATTAAAATATTATCATAATAATGTTTATGTTGCTCTGCTGGCAAATTCAGGCCTATATTTCTGGTGTTTTCTTTGTTTTTCTCAGTAAACTATGCAATGTCCTGGACCGTCTGAGCATGATAGCAGAGAATGTGGTCAAGAGAACAGGTTTCTTCATAAACCAAGCCAATTTCTACTGCCACACCCTCAGACCTGATGACAGGTGAGTTCTCCCGATTTTCTTTCTCCAGAGAAAATCCTTTATGAACAAATGGATAGAATTTCTTCCAGTTCCAAGTGATTTGTCTCTGAGGGAGTGTGGAAACGAGCAGCCGGGGTCAGGCTGGAGGTCAGGAGATGTTTATTTTGTTGCTTTTCCTTTTAGGTGGGGAGATGTAGGTGGACACATAACAGAGAGTGGACGGCTGCAGGTATGTTTTTATATATTGTATATATTTCTTTTGCATAATAATGCTTTCGTAATAAGTGAAAATGTAACCCTGAAATGTAATGCTAGTATTTAGTATTTAGGAGCAATGACAGGAATGAAGAGACCTGGTTATAAAATGTCGCTGAAAGGAATGGTCATGCAAACAAACAAGCAAACCTGCGTCTTATTTTAGATTACTTGTACGTGTAGATTATTCAAGCAGTGCATTCATGACAGCAGCTGTCAAACTAGGACACTGCATTGATAGTAGTTGCACAAGGAGGGGTTTTCAAGATGAAACCTTGATATTTCTGTTCATGGACTATTCATGTGTTGTTGTTGTGTAGCTCATGGACATATACATACAGTACATAACCTCTTGTTCCATACCCAAAGTGGTGTCAGTGAGTTTCATCAGCTCTTGTCTATTTCAGACCGGTGTGTTACGGACAAATTGTGTGGACTGTTTGGACCGGACCAATACAGCCCAGTTTATGGTTGGGAAGTGTGCACTGGCCTATCAGCTTTATGCACTGGGAATGATTGACAAGCCCAAGCTGCAGTTTGATACTGACTGCGTGAGGTACTACTGAATAGTCTCCGAATATGAACGATACCTCAAATATCTGTCTCTGTTTCATTTATTTTATTATAATTTCTGACAGATTTACATTCATCCAAATACCTAAATTTGTTTTCTTTTCTCTGTGTAATGTGCAAACAGAATCAAAGACTGACATTAGCCAAGTTGTTTTCTTCTTATCCAATAACACAACCTAACTGTACATCCTTCTTCACCATTGTATGTGAAGATTGTTTGAGGAGCTGTATGAAGATCATGGAGACACACTGTCCCTACAGTATGGCGGCTCCCAGCTGGTCCACAGGGTCAAGACCTACCGCAAGATCGCCCCCTGGACTCAGCACTCCAAAGACATCATGCAGACGCTCTCGCGCTATTACAGCAACGCTTTCTCAGGTGCGTGTTTTCACAAAGGCCCAAAAGCTGAATTATGTTCACTTTTGTTATTTTCCCATCTCTTGGAAGAGATCATATATTTCGCTATTCATTTTTTTTGCCCTGTTTCCACAGACCCTTGCACAACACGTAGTGTTTGAAATGCCAACCTTACCTGGAAAGGCTTTGAGAAAGACGAAATTATGTTTATTTTTGGTCATTTCCAATCATTGCTAATTATCAGCTGCTTAAGTAACTTCCTGTGCATACAATCTGAATGTCATTAGCAGTGAGAGAAATTACGTGCTTAAAACAAACAACACCACACGATTGACTGTTCCAAATCAAAGGGTGGCATTTGTGCCTCGGAAACTAAACTGCAGACAGGAGTATTAAGGCAGAGCTACTTGACCTAGTAAGATAACTGTTTCTCTAGAATATAAAAAAGGGATCAGTGGCTGGTTTCTGAGAAAAGACATTTGTTTTTCCTCCATGAAATGTCAAGAGACAGAGGTTCATAAGAAGCTGTGCACGTCCACAGATAATGATATACAACTGCTCAATAATTTTTAGACATGGAGTCTAGCATTTATCACAAAAACTACTACAATTGAACCTTTAATATAACCTTATTTCAGTACTATTGTTTAACTAGCATTTGTTTGTTTTTAATGTGAATAGTTATTACTCAGGATCGAAAGTGTTTTGCACAACACTGTTGTTTTTTTAACTGCAGAGAAATGACTGTGGCGTGTTACAGATGCTCACTGACGTACAGTACGTCATGATGGGCATCCCTATGATTTGCAGGAACACATGTTCAGTGAGCGTATTGACGAGAACAGTGAAAGTCAGGAAAACCTGACCTGTGCACAGGTTGTTACTGTGAGCACTTCATTCACAACACACAATGTCAATGGGCTGTGATGCATGTGTATATTAAGGCAGCAGCTCATCTGTTACTCTGATCTCAGTCGTGTGTGCAGTGATTCTCAGGGTGAAAATGACAAAGATGAGGCGGCTGTAATAGAAGTCACTCCAGACACACAAGTCACTGTTTTTCTACTGTTTCTCACTGTTGGAATACGTGGCTTCACAGCTGAAACATGCATCAAATATGCAGAACATGTTGAACATTGTGTAGAGATGTTGGCGGAGGAGTTTCTAACTATGCTGTTAGTTTCCACTGAATCTATTTTACGTTTCTGTCTAAGTAAATGCTGTTTTTTTTTCTGCTGTATTTTCTCGCACTGACTTTTCAACCACCACCATTAGGTCAGCCTGGGCAGGTACATTGTGTCATAAGAATGTACTAATAGCCTGTTGTAGATAACTTTGTTTTTTGATGGTTCTTAGCCCAAATTAACAATGAAATAATACATTTTGTCATTTGTACAGCCGTGAATAAATATAAGAAATATGTATATTGCTGGAACAGAGAGATAAATAACAGTAGGTAGATGAACAGTATGTGTGACGTGCACAGCTTCTTATGAGCCTCTGTCTCTTGACATTTCATGGAGGAAAAACAAATGCCTTTTCTCATAAACCACTGATCCCTTTTTTATATTCTAGAAAAACAGGTATCCTACTAGGTCAAGTAGCTCTGCCTTAATACTCCTGTCTGGAAACCAAATGCAGAAGGTTCACATTAGTTGCTGAGGCACAAATGCCACCCTTTGATTTGGATCAGTCACTCGTGTGTTGTTTGTTTTAAGCAATTCAATTCTCTCACAGCTATTGACATTCTAAATGTATGCACAGGAAGATACTTAGGCAGCTGATAGTTATTTGTTTTTACAACCTAATTATCCTGTCAATTTTGACAACGCCAGTTCAAATGGAAGTTTACTGTGTGATTCCAGTCCTTTAGTCTCGCAGACTGATCAGTCTTGACACTTTTTTATGTTTATGGTCTATGTTTGAAATCCAGTTGAAATGCTCCAGCTGTGTTCTCTGTTCCCTTCATTTGTCTGTCTGACTGGGTCAAAACCACAGGTTCTCTGAGGTTTTTCAAAAATCTGATATCTACTGATTGGAGACTGTCTTTTTTTAGCTTGTGTTGTTGACATTCATGGCAGCACGACATAAAAGCACTAGTCCTCTTGGCTGACCAAGAGAGGGTTTTAAAGTAGATCTAAGGTCTTGCTGGACCACAAGACGACTACTTTAAAGACGCAGTTTTATTTCTGGGATGTTTATTTTGATTTTAGTTTTTTAGTTTTACTTCTCTCATATTTAAAAATTTGATTTAAACATAGAATACCAAATTAATTACCAAACAGGTCTAATACAGGGGTGTCAGGTTGGTTGTAAATGGAGGACTGTATATGAAACATATTAATAGATGTTTCTGCCATTGATTATTATTTATTTAAGTTACATGTGGCTACTTTTGACCTTTACTACGACGATGTGTCTTTTTCGTTTCTCCAGACGCTGACAGACAGGATGCCATCAACCTGTTTCTTCAGGTTTTTCAGCCTTCAGAGTCCAAACCACATCTGTGGGAGCTGCCCACTGACTTTTACCTTCACCAGAAAAGCACCATGGCCCTTACTGTAGACAGACCCAGGTTACACCAACACTTTGTTTTCTCCTAATCTCACAGAGATTAATTCATCGCTCTCTTACACTGGTCAAGTAGTACAACACCTGCTGGATCAAACGTACAACACTTTGGGGTCAAGTTCTATATGTGGGATAGATATACACACATACACATTTAAAGACCTTTTAGAGAACCTTAAACTCATGTGTTCTACTTTCAGCTACACCATGTGGTGGTCTGATGGAGTTCTGTCCTATCTTCCTGTTGCCTATGATGAAGGTAGGACTTTTTATATGTGATTATATGCATTCAAACATTTTAATATTAACTGTGTGACACAAAACACTAATTCATATAAAAAGAAAAAAAAACTAGAAGCTTTTTCCTCTCATACTAATTCATATAAAAAGAAAAAAAACTAGAAGCTTTTTCCTCTCATAAATGCTAACTGTCCTACACTTGTGCTGCAGATTTCATTTCTAACATTTAGCCTCCCAAAAAATTTGAAGTTATGAAAAGCAAAAACAAAGCTAGAAATCCCCCTTCATAGATAAAATATTTCTTAAAAATAAGCTGTCAGTGAATAAACAGGAAGATAATTCAAAAATGTCTAAAAGAACAAATATCCAATAAAGATTAATTAGGCAATTAACACGTCTTGGCGCCATGATAAAATACAACAACCAGTTTCACATCATATACATTGAACATTTTAGTCTCAAACAAAGGTGGACAAATAAAGACTGATTCCAATTCCAGACTGAAAAAGTGCTTTGACATTCAGACTTTGGTTTCAGTTCCATGTGAAAAAAACATGAAGAAGGTGAAAGTGAAGAGAGTAAACCACTTTGACGAGAGCACCGACATCTACACAGAATTCTTCAAACCTTATGAACTCACCGCCTTTGAAGACCATTTCTGCATCACCATGGTCAACTCTGCCAGGTGTGAACACACACGCAGCACAAAGGCCCTCCACACAAACAGTTGTTGTTGGGATGGTGTCAAAATTGCGATGTTAATGGAGGCAAGACTTTTCAGATGATCTGTGCTCCTGTCAAATGTGTTAATAGTTAATGGCTCCTCTTTTATTCTCTTTGTACAAAGGGAATTTATGCCCAAAACAGTGGCAGTGGATCCAAGTCCATTCACTGTTCGTAAACCGGAGGAGACGGGAAAGTCGGTGCTGGGGTGAGTGAATAGAAAAAAGGCCTAACAACACGTCGATGTTAGTGATGGTTTTTGTAGGTGTGTGCATGTGTTTTGATGCAATAAATCCAATGTCATGGTGCCCTCATACACACAGAGTCATTTGACACCGTGTTCTCAGGTGACCAAAACAACTCTGTCTATTTCCCTGCCATTGGTGAGAACACTCAGTGCTGTATAGAAGGTGTGTGTGTGTCTGTGTGTTTGTTTTAAAGTCATAACACAAAAACAGAACGTGTCGCAAGGTGTTTTTCTCATTTGGAACAAGCACAACCAGTCGTTGACTCATTAATTGCCTCGGTCTGTTGTAGTAAAATAAATCTGATACAGTGACTGTCATTTATTCATGGATTCCAGCAGCTGTGTTGAAAAGATCACAGTGTCACCTTTGATAGATTATGCCTACAGTTAAGCCTAACGATCAGTGATCACTAAATGACTACATATGCATATGTTTCTATGACTAATGGCATCAGTATTATATTATTTCAATCATCAAAACAGCCTGCATCACCACTTTACTGCTTGATGTTTCTGATCACACTTTTGAAGAACAACTTTTGTGAACGTTTGAGTTTATGATTCATCCTGACAAATATTTGGGTCGTATTTGTCCTCACAATTCACCTTTTACCACATTTGCCAGTGAATGCACAACATGACTAATTCTCCTGTACTGCTTTGATGCTTTCATTTCATGCCCAGCTCTTCAGGGAGCCATCTGCGATTATGTGGCCATGATGTACAGGGCACGGATGTTAAGGCGCTCTGCCTCAGTACTATTGAACTTTATCACTCGCGTGTGCTTCCACACTGCAGCATCTATTTATCCTTTTTAGTCATTTTATCGTCATGTTGCTGTGACAACATTGGGAGAAAGGAAAAAAAAATCCTTGTGCCTCCAACATCTTCAGTGTCTCTTTGAACCTTCACCACAGTCCAGATAAATGGTCTGAGCAAAGAATGGTTCATGTGATGTTTAGACCCTGCACTGAAATCCCTTAAGCTTAAAGGTGAATGTGATGTGTTTTTTGACAGATTTTTTTTTTCATAAATCACTGGTATTTCTAACAAACTGTGACACAGATTTGTCAGAACTGATACAATGTTTGGTTAAGATGTCATGATTCTTGATACTTACTAATGACAGTGACTTCCACAGCTTGTACCTAAAGTGTTGATTTCACCACCGTGTCAGTGTGTGTTGATTCTGTAGCATCACTCACTAAATCTTTAGAGGTTTTCATCTGCATCATATTTACTTCATGATGCTATTTACTTCATGATGCTAAACTCTCTCAAAAAAATCACACTAGAGTTGACACTCCATAGTAGAGCTTTAAAAAAAATCACACTAGAGTTGACACATTTAACCCAATTCCATTTCATTTCTGCAGAAACAAAAGTAGTAAAGAGGAGACACTGCTCCAGAGGAAAACTGCGGCCAGTGCACCTCCCCCACCAAGTGAGGAGGCCATCTCCAGCACGTCTGAGGACGACTCTGAGGAGGACCGTGATGACGACGCATCGGTGTCGCAGCGCTCCACCCCCATCAAACTGCTAACTGACTCTGGAGAGAACACTCGCACACAGGAGGTACGAACACGGAATATTTTGGTCAGAAGGCTCTCATGAGAACCAGAGGCTAATGTTCCACTTCTATATTAAAGTCTTAAAACTGAAATTTGAAGGCTTTGATCACATTAGACGTTACAGCCATGAAACTGAGGATATAAAGTAATTGATAAATAAAGTTCAACTTTTTACAGCATTATCACAGCCAGTGAAACAAAAAAGTGTTGCTTTGTCACCAGTGCCATGATTTTTATTGCTGGATCTTTGACCTTTGAATGTATGTGAAGTCCAACTTAGTTTTATGACACACTTTTAACACACACCTCTGAATCACACTGTGATGTTTTTGGCATTAGAGAGTTTATAGATATAATTTTAAAAATAAGTTTTACACTGGTAAACATCAATGTGAGTCATTCAGTATTCATGAGATTTAGATGTTTGGATTTCTGTCTCCTTGATTGGACTCTTGACTGACTTAAAAGCTTAGTATATTTATAGTCATAGATCTGAGCAGTTCATTTTCTTCTATTTTGTGCTTTAGTTACTTGGATTCACTTTTGCAAGATTTGATTTATGGTTTAAAAATAAAATCATTTTGTCTTCTTGAAGGAGTTTCAGGGATAAGGAGTTGAGGAATAATCTTCCATCTTTGTCTCGACCCTTGTCTTATTAGTACCCATTTTGTTTTAGTATTACGGTCTAAGTACTGAGAGACGATTGTCCCTACGTGGTTTCCTTCAGATAAATTCGTTAATTCGTTTCACATTTGGTAAACGTTGGAAGTTGTTGTAATGAAATGTTAAGGGAGAAAACCTGAACGTACATGCACTTCAACCTGTTCAATTCTAAATATTATCCTTTCAGAAAATCAGATATAATTAGATGGAATAGTAACTAACAGTAATTATTATCAACTTTTACTTTTATTGATACTTGGCACAAAAGTAAATTTAAAACGTGATACTTTACTGATACCCACTGGAGATAACTGTCAGTGTCCTGTTTTACGATATTCCCGTTTCATCCGTCTGTATTTCATGCTTCACGTTTACTGTTAGCTCCTTTATTTCCGCAGTGACCCAGATTCACCGCATCAGGCAGAAGTTGCACATTGATAAGCACACAGTAGCTGGTAGGTCAGTAGGACAGGAGGAATAAGGCAGGGCCATCTGAGCAGACTGTTGGCTGAAAAGGCCGTTGTTGGGCTTGTGTTCTAGTAAAAACTGTTGGAAACAGCTGCGCTCACGTTGATATGGTTACAGGCAGATTTTACAGCCAGTGTGATGTCAGCAGTAGCGATACTGGATCCCTCCGCTCGTACCTTCCTACCTGCATAAATCCCATATGGCAGTTACTGTGACTCAGCTCCATCTAAAAGACATTTCCAAAAATGTCAGTGATTGTTGACACAGGCCCATGTTGCTCATTTAAAGTTGTTGTGGAAACACATTTTTAACTTTTGTGTCAATTATTATAATTTCTCTGCAGACAAATAAAATTGTTAAATTGTGTTGTCTTCCTAAAATAGTATAACAACGACACAATGAAGATCAACACTGACAAACAGCCGGTTTCGTTGGTGTTGATCCATTGTTAACTATAATCATGGGAAATTCTAGTCTTTTATATATTTTTTTATATTTTGTCCAGATTGATTTAGTAAATCAAAGTAAATCAATCTGTTTAAAGTCAGGGACCAACAGCAGAGAGAAAAAAAAACATGTTTCACGTCCAGAGGTGACAAGTAAACATGTGTTTCCCTTTCTCCGCGGTCTTCCTACATCCATCCATGCTCATCCAGAGCTATTGTTTGTGGTCACCTGACAGTTGAAGCCTGTGATCAGACAAAACATCTGTAAATCCCTGCACTCTGAAGCTAGCTTTAACTGAAACCCAACTGTTTATTCTCACCTCATTATCTTTTGCATTTTTCAATGGTTGTTAATGTTTTAAAAGTGGTTTAATCTCACGCACACAAAACAGTTTGAAGCAGGCTTCAAGACTTGGCTTGATGCAAAAATTATGGTGTATTTTTTTCCTCTCATTTTGTCCTTTTCCTGAGCCCTGAGCTGCTCATGAATATTTTGAACCGGACAGAACGCTCACGTGTTGGTTACACACACACACACACACGAGTGCCTCGTGTCTGCCTCTGAGCTTGTCCCTGAGAATAAATTGCCTCTGTGCTGCCACAACACACAACTGTTGAAATATTTACACATTGGATCATTGCAGTGATTGCTGTGTAATTACACATACTCATTTTATATTCCGCCTTTTTTTGAGTAATCGCCTGTCTGCACGGACAAGGCTAGTTTTGTATGGCTGTGTGTGTGTGTGTGTGTGTGTGGGTGTGTGTGTGTGTGTGTGTGTGTGGGTGTGTGTGTGTGTGTGTGTGTGTGGGTGTGTGTGTGTGTGTGTGTGTGGGTGTGTGTGTGTGTGTGTGTGTGGGTGTGTGTGTGTGTGTGTGTGTGTGGGTGTGTGTGTGTGTGTGTGTGTGGGTGTGTGTGTGTGTGTGTGTGTTTGACATACACAGCTGCCCATGCAGGGTCCTGGTCGTGAAACAGCCTCATTTCCCCCTGCAGTATTACAAATCAATATCAGTGTAGTGAAAAGTGAAAGCATTGTGTTAGCACATGATATTTCTGCTGCGATGGAAAAACAGCCAAAGAAAAGAAGGACATTACAGCCTGTAATAAAGCAACTCGTTGTTATTATGTCACACAGTGTTGCGTAACAGCTCCTCCATGTTGTGTTAGGTTTGACAGGAGGACATGAGATACAGCACTGCAACTTTTTTATACTTTGCCTCATTCTAGCATTGTTAGTGTTATTTTCTAACCAATAAAATTCATCGTCACGGTAAAAATAATTATAATCAGATAGAATCCTCTTTTATACAGTTGAAAATGAATTGATTAATTGAATTTTCTTTAATTAATTTTTCACAATTTTGTGTAGAGTAGTCACCTGGTCATTCAATACTTTGAGAATAAATAATGATTTCATAATTATGTTGGTGTTCGTATTCGGCTGCAGTTGCTGCTGATCTTTCCACACTGTAACAGTCCTGACATGGCTTTTCACTTTTCACTCACAACTTTTTTGTGAAGGTTTTTTTTCTTTCATACAGGGATAGAAAGATGAAGGTGGAGAATGGAGTTATATAATATCTGGGCCCTTCAAAAACCATTTGGACAGTTTCCTGACTAACGTTGGCTGCAGTTTGCAGATCCTGTTAATTTCGGTTTGATGTCTGCCAATGGAAGACGCCTGCTAGCTCCTAACACCGTCCTACATTGTAACACCTAGACATAAGGCGATGGGTTAGTGTTATTTATGTATGTGCTTCACACCCCAGCACCAGTCTGTCGTTGATATTACAAAACTCAGAAGTCACGTTTATCCTGAAAGTGAGTTACTTCTTGTTGTAGCTACTCAAATTACTGCAACAGGGTAAAACTGAGCTGGGGTCAGTGGAACGTATCCTCTTCTTAGGCATAACTTTTTTGTCAGATTTCATATCATGTGTTTCATCAGTGCCATTGTCATTTCTCCTCCTTATCTTTATTTTTCTGTTATTCTAAGTGTCATCAAATGGGCTTAAATACACTGTCATCATGAACTCACTGCCACTGCCTGAACTGGTCTGACCCTTTTAATAAAATCTGGTTCCTGTGATTATCATATCTCCACCAGCATGCACACTGTGTGCATAAACCCCAGGAGGGCTGTGTTCCCGAGCTCAGCGCCACGTTACTGGGAGCTGACAATCAAATTTACATTTAAAGTTACCTAAATTGCTCTCCCCGGGTCATTGTAATTTGTGCATCAGAGGCAGGCGCGCGGCCGAACCTGATGACTCCATCAGTGTGCCTTCTTATGCTCCTGAGACTGATGCAAACTTTAAATTTTTTCATTAAAAAAAATAAAAATAAAAATGGACTTTACCAACTGGTCTTCTTCCTCTTATGTCTTCAGGAACATCAGCAGCAGCAGACGGCGAAGGAGCCGTATGGACTCAATCTGGCCATGTTCCCTACAGAAAGAGACACGCTCATTTACCAAAGGTAACAGAAGTATTTATGTACATTTTAAGACAACTTTATTTTATTTATCTACAAACAGTTACTTCCATTTGGGTGAGCGCTCCAAGTGCACTAGATGTTGAGTTCTGATTAAGCAGACTTTACCTCATTAAATCACCTCTCTTTAATGGCCTTCACATTCTCCTGTGTACAACCAGAGGGGAGCCCAAGTACCACCATTGATGCACGTACCATAGTTTGAGAACTAGAGTACCACTGCTGGAGCTGCCAACAAAAAAGAAAAAACACTCTTGTAGCAAATATACGTAGCAAAACAAAAATGTGTTTTTGGTGCAGGGTGTCTCAGTTAATAACCAACGATGGAGCCGCTGTATCTTCACTTCTTCCTTCTATTATTTATTATTGTTATTGATGATACAGCCTGTACCGAAGACAGACAGTGGAAGGACAATCAGGACTAAACTGTTCGTCCACTAAAGGGACATCTCTACCCTGCTGTGTCCAACACTCGTCTGACTTCACTGCTCTTTGTCCACGTTGCCCCTGACTTTCATGTTGGGCTCGTTCTTCCCGTTCTATTTTCTTCTTACTCTCTGTAAGTGTTAATATGAACACGACTGTCTGTTCTTTCTACATGAACCGCACATCTGATACAGGAGGGAGCGTTCGATGACACCTTATTAGAGGTTTTCTCCTGCAAAGACGTTTTAGGAAAAAATGGACGAGTGTTCCTGTGGCTCTTTTCTGTTGCACATTAGATGGCATTGAAAGGAGAAAGGAGCAAATATAGTGGTGTGGCCACAGGCTGTGGACCCTGACCTCCTCTCAGTGATTCTTTGAAATTGCACCCCACTGCCCTCACATTTTATATATATAGGCTATATATATATAATTGTAGATTACATATATTATATAATTGTAGAGGAAATGACCATAATTATGTCCAACAGGAATGTTGGAATAAGGCTACCAATGCAAATGTATACAGGGGAACACTTCAATGTCTGTCAGCCTAGAACACCTGGATCAGCAGCATCATGCAGCTTGTCTCATCCTGGTGTTTTATAATCTGACTTTGATTACACACACACACACACTTTTGAGCTGCGATTGAATCAGACAACAAAAAATGAACAGAGTTTAATCAAACAAGCCAGACTCGCAGTGAAGAACGCTGTACTCCCACTGTAGGGAGTGCATTCATCAACCAGGCCCAAACTTGGAACAGATCCAGAGATGTTAGCATCAGCCACAGCTCCCTTAATCAACACATTAATATTAAAAACCATAAGCAGCAGCCAGAGGGGAAGTCTTGGCTGCTGAATGTTGTTGTGTCACAGCAGAAGACAAATGACCAAAGACGGATTCTTCCATTGGGAAGCAGAGTGATTCTGAATGTATGTGTTCTCAGTGAAGCTCATCTCCAGCAGCAGACGATGAGAACGTTTTATTTAAAGGGTGCTTCAGATACAAGTTGCCTTCTGTGAACGGTGCTCTGCGCTCCTGGTAATTTCAAAGTCATATTTGTTCTTCTGCAGGTTTGCACGTCTGGGCGGGGGACAGCACAAAGTGGAGAAGGCCGAGCGCATAAACCTGGCAAATATCATCAGCTTGTGAGTAAAACACGTGACACCAAACACAATCAGAGTAGAAAAGAATGAATACCCATGTCCCCGAGCTCTTACTGGCTTCCAGCACTTTAGACTCTGCTCCGAAATTTCCTGCGGTCTTCAGACAAGAGAAGGCAGCAGGTCAGACTAAGTGGTCTCCACGGAGGCCTTTAGCCACGTGTACACTTTAATCCTCATCCCTCGTAATCAAACACTGTTTCTTTACCCGATGTTAGCCGTGCTTTTCTCCCCTCAGTCAGTCCAGCGGCACCCTGCTGTGACCTAGCAGTCAGGTTAGCTTTTACCCAGCTCCGGTAGGATTCAGCCCCACGTCCACAGCCACTGTTACAACAATGCCTTTGGTTCTGCTGTCCTTCTGTCTTCCTCATCCTGCACTCACGTGTTCCAGCATCATCATCATCATCATCAGTTACCTGACGCCCTATTTAAATTCTTGTTTGTCTGTTCAGAAAGATTTTTTTTTCTTAACCTTCTCTCATGGTGATATTTCTCTCACGTTGACCGCACTGTAAAAACCCTTTTGTGTTCTGCTGCACAAAGGAGTCAACAGGAGATACACTGTACATCAGGGCTGGGGGAAAATAATGTTTTTTTTCCTAATACATAAAAATGGATTATAAATCGGTTTGGAAGAATCAGTCAATTATGATCAAATGAAAAGCATAAAGAAATGAGAAAATATATTGAAAGTGTAAAAAAACAAACCAAAACCAAAGCTTCTTTATAAAAGAACACCACACAGAGCATGTCTCTTGGCCTTTGTCACTCACCATCTTCCTCCTACAACTCAGTGTAGGATGAATGGATGAATGAACGATCAGTCATTTTCACAGCATGGTCACATGGTCTGGAAGGTGAGACCTTTGTTGTTGTGAAACAACCGGCTGTTACAGCCTGAACATGTTAGAAACACCTGAGCTTCACACCTCCCTCGGTGCAGTTCCTCTGATGATCTGCTGATGGGAAGATGCTTCCGCTCTTCTGTGTTACGTATAGAATTATATTTGAGGATGAGTCAATTAACTGCATCAACAGTTTCTTTTTTTTTCTTTTCCTAAATCTACTACATGCTCTTTCATTCCTGTCTTCACCAAGTGTCAGGAGACAGACGGTGAGATGAAGTCTCTCGCTCCAATCACTGGAAACGTCACCTAATTATTTAGTCCTAAATATAGGCCTCAGCCACTTATCCACTTCACCTTTCATTGTCCTCAGTCAGTGTCCTCCACCTGTCCAATATTTGTACTTAAGTTTTCATTTCTTGTGGACATGTAGTAGACACTGGCTCAGTCTACTCCAGCCTCTCATCGCTGAGTTGCATTTATGATGCAGCGGTGTGTGTCTGAGCAGCGTCTCACTGGAGCCACAGCTGATCCTAAACTGGCCAAATGAATGGGTTAGCAGCCAAGCATGTGGCTGATAATGTCCTCCGAGGATGAGGGGACATGCTCCGGTGTGCAGCATCTGCCAAATGATCAGCCTCCTCATCGCTGCGCTCCTTTGTTTCGCTGACTCTTTGCTCCTGTGTTTGGTGAGACTCTTTTGGAACTTGTGGGGTTCACCAGGAACCTGGACAAACTACGGCCCGTGGGCCGGATGTGGCCCGCTGGGCTTTCTATTCCAGCCCACCAAACACTGGTAGAAGGCATGGACAAAACTGATGTCAGTCGTTTTGATTCATGCATTACAACAAATCTATGTAATGCCAATAGATGGCGGCAGACAACCAATATGTCAAATCATCTTTGAAAGTTTAGATGAAGTCTAGTACATTTTAGTTATATTATTTCGCCCAGCGTTCTACATCCAGCCAATACTGGACCAGTCTGCCAGATACGTTTAAAACCTCATTTCTTGGCCCATGAGCCTTGAAATCGACAGCTTGTCATCGTTAGAAATTTGCCTGTCCTTGTCCCCCCCCCTCTCAGAGAACCAGTGTCCTGCTTGGTGGAGGACAGCATCTACAGTGTCTCTCCTCCAAAGGTGGACAGAGACAGCAGAATTGTGTTCGAAAGCCATGTGATGACGGGTCGAGGTCAGGTGAGAGCGCTGTGCAGGGACGACATGCTCATGTACAGAGAGTACGTCAAAAATAGATACATGTGAGACGCAGCTCGGGCGCCGTCAATTTCTTTGTGGAGACTCCACCAAGGTGTTCCAGCAGGACAGCAGAGGGACGTTCCTCCATTTTTAAATGAATATCGCCTTAGCCTTCTTGGTGTGAACTTTATTTCCCTTCTGTTCAGAGAAGACTGTTCGTTCTGAAGATATGAAGCAGCCACGTCTCCTGTATTTCAGAGGTTTCAATGCCTCAGATTTGATGACAGGATTTTAACAATTCTGCCTGTTTTGTTCCTTTTGTTTGTCCTTTGAATTTTTTTTCTAATCTTAATCATTTTAATGACATTCTTTTATGAAGGTTTTTTTAATTAACTGCTTGTAAATACTGTATTAATGTCAGACGCCTGTGTCAGTATTGTAAGTCAACTATTTTATCTTGATTGGCTGATTTTGTAAGCGTCAGTCAATTTTAGCTTGGCTTCCTGGACGGCGCTCATTTGGTAGAGTCCGTTCTGTCAGCCTGTGTTAGGATTCTTTAATTAAACTGTATTTATGAGCTTGTTGTGCCAATAGTGATTTCTTGTTTTCTTCTGTTATTTTATTTGTCATCTTTTCTACCACACGAGTGAAGTACTTCTGGTACTCTTTTCTGTTTGTTGCTGTTTCTTGCTGTGTCTGTTTTGACCATTATGTCTAAATGTATTTTACTTAATGGAATATTTTTCTTTCATTTTCTTCCCTCACACTCGTACGATGCTTAGCTGTCATACCCACGTGTCTGGAAATGTGCACGTGATGAAGGCTATTTGACGTTTATATTTAGCCAGTAAAACTGACTCACCACTGGCCTGATCTTCACATCACGTCCTTATTCAGGAGATTATTTTTCAGTTTCATTCTAGTTCCTATAATTCAATTAATTACATTAACTGTTCAATTTAATTATATCACTGGGGTCTTCACAGTGCAGTACAGTTACATCATGTTATACTGTATATTATAGTGAGAAAATTATTATGTATATATGTATATTATTATGTTCTAATGAAATATCATCTCTGTAAGGATATTATATTCTAATGAAATATCATCTCTGTAAGGAGGCTCACAAAAGGGATGGTAGAAGATGGATGGATGGATGTACTTAAAGGTCTCCCAGAGCAGCAATTGTTGCTTGTTAGACCATGTCAAAGGAATTTGTAGCCACACTGTCTCCTTCTCTGTTTCCTGATGTCTTTTGAAATCATGGTCCTCTTCAGTTTCAAGCAGCGACCACTACATGAAAAGTCTCCCACCCTCTCTGCTGACAGGAGCTCACGGCTGGAGCTGTGAGGTTAGTTCAACCTGCTCTGCTGTGCGGTGAGTGTCAACCAATCATCAAATCAAATACTTGTGTTTATGATGGCTTAAGTGAAAGTCAATGGCAATCTCCCAGTCAAGACTTCCTGTTGGAGGTGCTTTTAGATGTGATTCCATTTGTAGCCACAGGTGCCGTCACCGAGTGCAACACATCTGGGTCTTTCTAAAACACGACAAATATTTTCAGATTTTTTTTTTTGCCTGGTCTCTAATGTGTGTGAATCGCTTAAATCAGAGTTGTGGTAAGAATTAGGATTAGGCATCAAATCCTGATATTTAGGGTTAGGATAAGGGATTAGGGACATCTTTTTCTGGGTCCCCACTGAGTGAGGTGGTATTTTCATGTATTTAATGTTGAAATTTGAATTACAGTAGGTGTAGATTAGAGTTAGGTAAAGATTGATGTTAGGAAGGTGATTGTACTGTTCAAAGTTGAGTAGGGGGCTAAGGCACGGGTGTGCAACCTGTGGCTCCTGAGCTATATGCAGGTCCTAGCCACTTCACATGCCGTGCTAACTTTTTAGCTTGCTTGCTAATAGCGCAGCAACATAATACCACTGTCCTCTGGACTCAAGATCCAGTTTGTCATTTTTACAGTGTGTTGATCATTGTCTGCATGTGGAAATGTCCCCTATTTGAAGTTAACGAGGTTCAACAACTGTGCTGTGGTTGTACTTTATAATCTGTAGTATTACTACAGTACCTAGAACTTCACTACACTGCATCTTTAAGAAATCAAAATATCTTACAGCTCTCAAAAGATTTTTATTTCCTTGTACAATTATAAATCTGGCTCATTTAACATTAACAAAAACAAATCATTTTAAATCACTGTGACGTTTCAACGCGTTTATATCGTCCCCCTCTCTCCCTCCCTCTCTCGTCTCTCGCCCTCTTACCGATAACGTCACTCGGCTTTATATCTCTACCCTCGTGTCTTCAGCCGGTTCCCTCTCAGCCTCCTCCTCCAACTGCTTCACCTCACATGTGTCACGTTCACCTCCGTCACCGAGGTGAGCACCAGCCAATGCTTCACACCACCACCATCACCACCACCACCACTGCCCTGCGTGTCTGCCCC